TAAATGTCTTCAAATAAAAAACTTTTCAGCTGCAAAATTGTAGATAGTATTGAGAATTATAACTTTGGTCTAGACCATGTCAACAACTGAAGTTGTTTGAAAATTTTAAATTTTAAAATCTATGAAATTAAAGTAATATTTTGGAACTCTAAAAAGTTCCAAATAAAAACTTCTCAACTACAAAGTTGTAGATCTCGTCGAGAGCTACAATTTTGATATGAAGTTTGTCTTCATCTGAGTTCATATAAAAAAGATATGAATTATTGTTTAGACGAAACTATATTTAGAGACGGGCATCTTAAGATGCCTGCCACTAAAAATCGATTTTTAGAGATGGGCGTTTGGAATGGCCACTTCTATTAATATCAATAAGAGGCGATCATATGAAGATGTGCGTCTCTAAAAATTGATTTATAGAGATGGGTGTCCTAGGACAACCGCCTCATTAAATGATTTTTAGAGACGGACATTAGCTTGGAGGCTGCCTGGACATTTACGGATGTGGTCTCTAGATGTGCCCGCCTCTATTAGTAAGAGGGGTTGTCTCCTAAAATTATTTTGGTGGTAGTGTTTATGACCTTGTTAGTAGTGACACTTTGAGTCCGATCTATCTCCTTCACATTTACCTTTGATTGCTGGCCTTGTCTTGATAATGCTGAAATACTCATTGAATTTAAGTATACTCTTTATCAAACATTCCTCCACTCCACCAAACCAAACTCATATACATTCCACTTATCACATCGACCAATATGGTCAGTCAAGATAAGTGCGGAACTAGGGGGCAGCAGGGGCGGTTACCCCCCCCCAAACAGAGAAAAAAATTAGTACTCTTATAAATATTACAATGCAAAGCATATTTTGCCAATTACTCATATTTTACCATAATATTGTGATTTTTGTTATGAACACTAACTACATATGTAAAAGCATAAAAAAATTGTTGAAATGTATACTTATGTATATATTTATCACACTTGTTAGGTGTTATTATGTTTGCCCGGCCCACCTTAATCAAAGCTGCTAGTTCCGCCACTGGTCAAGATGAATAATACTCCATCTACCATTCTTGAATCACCCTCAAATTCCTAGCAGAATAGAGAAATTGAGCTATAAAAAAATTGTACACATGAAGGTCCAAAAAAAGAAAAAAGGGAGAAAAATATGGACAAATGAAGGTACAAATATTAAAAAAAAAACATGTATAGCTCCATGATCTGAAGTGTTTAAATGAGATATCTAAAGGGTATGTGAACCATCAAATAAGAAGTTTCATGCAAGACCACATTTTTCCTAACTGGATTGCTTTGATATGATAAATCACATACATCACATATCAATGGTCGGCTTAAGAAGTGTCATGATCTTCACTATGTCCATTTGATTTCTCCCTCTCCACCATACATCCGATTTTTCCAATGATTAACTTAAGAAGTGTCATGATCTTCACTATGTCCATTTGATTTCTCCCTCTCCACCATACATCCGATTTTTCCAAATATTAACTTAAGAAGTGTCATGATCTTCACTTGAACCATTATTTAACTTAACAACATACATGACATAGATATGCCTTGTTTTTCCTTACCTTTGAGCCCCATGTAAGCCTATAGTTGGTAGGAAAAAGAAAGGCCACTGGCCCTTGTTGAGGACATAAAAAATCCACTTGAGTCATACGAGAATACCATTTGAGGAGTACAATGAGTTAGGGATTTCTTTTTGAATATTTTATCAAAAACTCCAAAGCATACATGATAGAGAAGGGGAGTTATTCCTTCATTCAAGATTTTTCATCTCTCAACCGCAAAAGGCAAGTATCATGGCCACTTCAAACCCCATAGCTACAAGTAATGAGTTGGAATAACTTTTATGCTTGCTTTATATCTTGAGAGGTCGTGCATCATGGCCACCTCAGTTCTTGCTCAATCCTCCGTTCCTAATTTCTGGTCTTTACTAGGAACAAGCAAAGATCTAAGCATGGAGGAGGTTGTTGGCGGTCCTTAAATCAAATAATCTAGTAGCCAAAATATTCTAAAAAACGACGTTCAATAATACATCATAGCAAGATAGGTACTTATCTAACAAGTTTCATAAATTTGGGTGATTTAGAGATGTTTCGCAGGATATACTAAAAATAAAAATAAAAGATATTGTGTGGAGCATATGCAATTTGAACTCAAATGGATTTGAGAAATAATTCAAATTATCATCATTACAAACGATCTCAAATTTAAAATTAGAGTACATCATTGCAAGTTGTTCTAGGTTCCTCCTGTCGTGGGCAGGGGAACTCAGCGCCGGCGGCGGCGGCGGCGAGGCCTAAGGAGGCAAGGGACTGGGAGGCCCGAGGAGGTGAGGACAAAGATGAGTTGGTAGAGGGTAGGACGGACTAGGCGATTGCTGTGAGGGCACTAGGGAGGGGCAGACTTGGTGTGGTGGCAGCAAGGGCACTAGGGAGGGGAGATTTCAAAAAAGAGATGGCATCTGTCTCACTCGGGGCGCGATGTGGGAGAAAGGCCCTGTTGTTGGTATGGGGGCCACGATGACAGGGCGAGGCAGTGAAACTGTGGACAACCACGCTGGGTAATGGAAAGAATCATAAGTGCGTTTTAAGTAAAAGTGATTTACAGAGACGGTACACTTAATAAGATGAAAAAGATATCTCCATTGATAAATGAACATGTCTCCAAAAATCATTTTTGTAGTGTGGAAACGTGAAATGGGCTTTTCATGGAGGTTGGCACCGGACAAGATAGGAGGACTGAGGATGGTGCCGAAGATGGTGACAAAGATGTGAAGAAGGTTGCACACTGTATACAAGCAACAAGACTAGGAAAAGCGGAAACATGTGGTTAGAGTGTGAGACACAAATGGAAGAAAAGACAAGTGAACCACCTAGGATCAGTAGGAGGTTGGACATAGAACCTGCAGGAAGCTCAGACGGAACTGGCGGATCGACATAGAGCACTGATCCAGCAGCCCGAAAGATGCAGTAGCGTCTTAGAGCCAAAATTTCTTTTAGAATCGTCGTCGCATCCTGATCACATAGCGATGCGATTTTTTTTTTGGAACTAAGTATAAAACTAGTAGATAACGTGGATAACGTGGGCAGACGCGTCTCGATCGAATACGTTTTACTGAATTGTGGCACTTTTGTACACTTTGTTTCTTTGTTTTGAAAGAAAGCGGGAAACCTTTTCTCTAATTTCAGTTAGGTTGTGTTGTTGGTGACTGAAGTGGAGATCCAATCCTATCAGCTTTCTCAATAAGGCATGAAACAGAAGCGAGTGCAGTGGAGTGGTGGTTGGTTGGATCCAAAGCGAAATGCTGTTTAGTACGGATGTGATTTGTCAAACTGTTTGGTATGGATGTGGTTCAGAGATATTAATATGTATATATCGTGTGGACGAATATTGCCTGTGTTTAATTTGCTTGAGAGACATGGATCGATCATGTCATGTCAGCGTCGTTGGTGTTGGTGAATTAATCCAGGAACACGCTTGGATGGTGTAGATAAGATAATCGTGTTCGAGAAACTTAACAAAGAGCAGACAATGGCATATATATTTCACTACAGGAACGCGAAGCCACGAATACACTCGGCAAACCCTTTGCCGAGTGTAACACTCGGTAAAGGGCACTCGACAAAAAATTCATCGGCAAACACACTTTGCCGAGTGTTTTTTGTCGGGCACTCGGCAAAGACGCTGCGAGTGCCCAAAAAACACTCGGCAAACATTTTTCGTAAGAAATAAAAAAACAAATTGCCACCGGCCACCGCCCACCACGGCCACCACGTCGCCACACCCGCTGCCCCACGCCGCCACCGGCCGCCGCCCACCACGGTCACCACGCCGCCACGCAACCCACGCCACGCGCCCACCACGGCCACCACGCCACCACGCCCCACGCCGGACGCCGCCCGCCACGCCGCACGCCACCAGCCGGATCCGGGAGAGGGGAGGGGCGGCCGCCGGGACGCCGCCGGATCCGGGAGGGGAGGGGCCGTCGTAGGATCTGGGGAAGGAGTGGAGGGGGCGGCGCCGGGGAGAAGGGGAGGGGGCGGCGACCTAGGGAAGGAGGGGTGGTCGGGCTGCCGCCGGATCCGGCCGGGAGGGGAGGGACCGCCGCCGGATCTGGGGAAGGAGTGGAGGGGGCAGCGTCGGGGAGAAGGGGAGGGGGCGGCGGCGGGGGGAAGGAGGGGTGGCCGGGCCGTCGGATCCGGCCGAGAGGGGAGGGGCCGCAGGCGCGGAGAAGGGGAGGGGGCCGTGCGGGGAGAAGGGTTGGGCGCGTCCGCTGGGGCCGGTTAAAAAATTTTTTCCTTTGCCGAGTGTCCTAGATCTGGACACTCGGCAAAGTTTATTTTCATTTTTTTCTTCTCTTTCTTTTCCATAAAAATTATTTTTTTCCTTTCTGAGTGTCCTAGATCTAGGCACTCGACAAACTTTTTTTTTTTTTTCTTCTCCTTCTTTCCGAGAAAAAATATTTTCTTTCTTTGCCGAGTGTCCTGGATCTGGGCTCTCGGTAAAGTTTTTTTTTCATTTTTTATTCTCCTTCTTTCCCGAAAAAAGTTTTACTTATTTGCCGAGTGTCAAAAGAAAACACTCGGCAAACCTCATCTTTGCCAAGTGTTTTTTTTGACACTCGGCAAATCTCCTCTTTACCGAGTGTTTTTTTTTACCGAGTGTTTTTAGCGCAGCACTCGGCAAAGAGCTTATTTGCCGAGTGCCCGAGAGATAATACACTCGACAAACATAAAAACACTCGACAAATTTGACGTTTTCGGCAGTGTTTTTTCAGAGTTGACAACATCACATCGTCAAGCTAAGTAGCAACACGCACACAAGATGACGACAGGTAGATCGAATCAGATGTGACATGGTATCCATGCATGGTGGCGCTTCATCCACGTAAGCACGTACATTCTATGGTGGTAGGTTGGTATAGTATAGGTATGCGATTCATGGAAGAAGACGCATACGTACGCGCGCGCATGCACGCTAGACGACGGCCGGGAAGGGGGTGAGGCGAGGCGTGGGGCGGAGCAGAAGCGGCTTCTTGCGAGCGCACACCAGCCCGTCCGACTCCGACATGTCGATCTTGGAGCTGTTGATCACCCCGCTATCGCCGTAGACGGTGGCCCAGTCGAAGCACTGCACGAGCGCCGCCAGCACAGCGGGAACGGACTGCAGCGCGAGGCCCATGCCGGGGCATCCCCGGCGACCGCTGCCGAAGGGCATGTACTGGAAGTGCTGCCCGCGGGGCTCCAGGCTCTCGGCGGCGCCGCCGGGCATGAACCGTTCCGGCCGGAACGCCAGGGGCTCCTCCCAGTAGGCCGGGTCGCGCCCGATGGCCCACACGTTGATGAACACCGCCGTCTGCGGCGGCACGGTGAAGCCCCGGACCACCATCTCGTCCGTCGACTGCCGGTGCGCGATCGGCGCCGCCGGGTGCAGGCGCAGCGTCTCCTTGTACGCCGCCATCAGGTACGGCAGCTGCGGCAGGTCCGCCTCGCTGGCGATCCTGTCGCCGCCGATCACCGCGTCGATCTCCTCCACCACCTTGCGCAGCGTCTCCGGGTGGTTCATCAGCTCCGCCAGCATCCACTCCACCATGGCCGCCGACGTATCTGAGCCAGCCGTCACAACGTCCTGCATCAATGCATATTATAGATAGTAATAAAAAGCAAGCATGACTGCATGAGAAGTAAATAATCTATCATGAGAAGTACAGTAAATAATAAAATACTCCGTAGTAAAAAGCATGCACACGCATGGCTGTGGCTCTTACGATGATGAAGGCCTTTATGTTTTCCCAGGTGAGCTTCACCTCCGCCGCCGGGTCCTCCGCCTTGTCCATGAGGATGTCGAGCAGGTCCTTGCTGTGCGTCGCCTGCTTCTTGTCGAGCTTGCTGCTGCCATGGCCGTCATCGTCGTCGTGCCATCGCGCCGCCCTTGCCTCCTCCTTGTGCTTCAGGATGTCCTCCAGCAGGGCGTCGAAGCGGCGGTGGACGTCGGCGGCTCTCCTGCGGATGCCCTGGAGGTCCCAGCCACGGATCACCGCGATGTAGTCGTCGGCGTTGAAGGCGCCGACCAGCTCGGCCACAGCCTTGACCAGCTCCTGCGCCTCGTCGGTGACGCTGCCGGGCACGGTGCTGGCGACCATCCGGATGATGGAGGTGTTGGAGAGGCGGATGAGGTGGCGGGTGAGGTCCACCGTCTCCCCGCGCGCCGACGAGGCCAGCAGGTCCCCCAGCAGGGACACGGTGCCGGCGCGGCGGATGGGGCGCAGCTGCTCGACGGTGCGCGGGCCGAGGAGCTCCGACATGCAGAGGCGCTTCATGAAGCGCCAGTGCGTGTTGTAGGGCGCGAAGGCGAAGCCGGCCGAGTCGTAGGCGAACTGGCGAGCCACCGCCGTGAGCGGCCGCTCCGAGATGCTGCCCTCATGGCCGCGGATGAGCTCACTGGCCACCTCCGGGGTGCTGGCTACCACGCAGTGCGTGGAGCCGAGGCGGATGTGCATCAGGGGACCGATCCGGGACGCCAGCTCCTGGAAGGTGCGGTGCACCGGCGGGTGGAGCAGGTGCAGGTGTCCGATCACCGGGAGGCTCGTCGGGCCCGGGGGCAGCCGGGCCTGCTGCCGCCATGAGGAGATCAAGTGGCGCAAGGTGACGATGGTGACGACGGCGACCAGCGCCAGGACGGCCTCTGGGTTATTCTTCAAGAGCGACAGGATCACCATGCTGGGGCTGGAGCTGAGCGGCTGCTCTTCCATGGCCATGATCCTAGCTAGCTAGCTGCCTCTGCTTTTCTTCCTCAGTACGTGCACTACTCAGGCTCTCAGCTCATCATCAACTGATGAGCTGCTGTGTTCTGTGTACACACTTAATCTGATCGGTCTCTTCTCTTATATATATATAGGACTAGTATACTTATTCAGAGAGAGGAGTACGCAGATGGAATTGATCTTATTGACGAAAAAGATATGCTGACCGGGTCCACTACCGAATACCGAATACCGAAACCGGCTCTTTACCGAGTGTTTTTATGTTTATCGAGTGTATTTCCTCGGACACTCGGCAAACAAGCTCTTTACCGAGTGCTGCGAAAAAAACACTCGGTAAAATAATTACACTTGGTAAATAAACTGTTTGCCGAGTGTTTAAAAAAACACTCAGCAAAGAAGTAAGTTTGCCGAGTGCCCCCAATCTGACACTCGGTAAACACTGCTTTGCCGAGTGTCAGATTTGGATACTCGGCAAAACTCCTATACTATAACTCATGCACCCCGAAAGCGCAGCTGCGAGGCTGGTCTCCGCTGTTACGCCTCTGCTGCCCGCCTCTCCCCTCCCCCTCCTCTAGTCCATTCCAAGCCCCCCACCGGCCACCACCACCACCACGCCAGCCAGCCCCACCACTCCATCCGAGTCTTCGACTCCAAGCTGCCGCCAGCAGGAGGAGAGGAGGCAGGTCAGGGCAACGCCGATGCACCCAAAGCTGTCGTGGACCGCCCAAAGATCTTAGGTTTTTCCCCTCCCCTTAGATTTTTCTCCTCGGGTTGTCCTTCGGGATTCCTAAATTTAAGCTGTGATTTTCGTTCACTGTGTTTCCATTTTTTCTCCTTTTTCGTTCTTGAGTTTGATCTCAATCTCCCGGAGTTTGGGTCAATCCCATGCAATGATTTTTGGGAAATAGGTTCATGCTAGGTTGAATTACATCTGTGCAAATTTTGGGAGCGTTTCATGGAGTTTTAGTTTGGTTTTCGTCAGATTTTTTGTCGCTCCTTTTTCTTCTGTTCGTTCTTGCTTCTTCTCTGTTAGTGTGTTCGTGACTGTATCGAGCAGGAGCAGCTGTCCAGCAGCCCAGCTGGAGCACTACCAGTGCTAAGTGCTCAGGCACCAAGCGAGCTCACTTGAGCGGTGCTTGCTGTGGGTGCTCATGGCTTTGGCCTGCCTTTCCACTTGCGTTGCTCCCCCTTTTGTGTTTCTGGGCTTGTCTGGGGCCGCGAGGAGCGGCGTGGTGGTGGTGGTGGCGGCGAGCGGCGTGGTGTTGACGGTCTGGTGGCGCAGGTTTTTTTTTTATATTTTTTTAAAAAAATTTTGCCAAGTGTCAGTTTAGTACTCGGCAAAGTGTTTACCGAGTGCTCGACAAAAAAAACACTCGGCAAAGACAACTTTGCTGAGTCTTTGTTCGTCGAGTGTCATTTGCCGCTTTGCCAAGTGTTTTTTGAGTTTCGTCGTGTGTCTTGGATACACGGCAAAGCTACTGATTTCGATAGTGGTTGTTTAGGGCGTGTTTGGGACCGCTTATATAAGAATCAATTTTAATCTGATTATGATTTTCTTACAAGCCATGGTCTAAAAAAATCATCAGCATGAAGAATCAAAGATGTTTGGCAATTGCGATCATTACGGCAATCGGGAGTGTAAAATGACATTTATGCCCTTCTTCAAATCACCTGTTGTTTCCTGTTCATCACCCATCTCTCGCTGTTGCTGCGCAGATGCAAGGGAGGCGCCTCCATCCTCGGACCGAGCGGAGGCGGGGAGCGGACGGGAGCTACACCTCCCTCGAGCTCTCCTCAGACCGAGCGAACTGGGCGAGTCGAGGAAACGAACGGGAGCGCCCGTCTTCTCACCACTGTGCGGATGCAAGGGAGAGCCTCCATCCTCCGATTGAGCAGAGACATGGAGCGGACGGGAGCGAGTCGACGCCGCGAGCTCCTACGCCTCCATCGACGGCGCCTCCAACCGAGCGAAATGGGCACCTTCGCAGCGCAGGGAAGCGGATGAGAGCAGCGCAGGATAGCCGATAGGCGAGCGCAGGGGCAGTCGGGGGAGCGGAGGCCGCGGTACAGAAATTACCGGTGCTAGTTGGAACTTCGAATGTTTGGATCGCTATTCCTAGGCAATAAAAATCAATCGAGTCTACTCGATTATTTTCATCCATAATCAAAATAGACGGTCCCAGACACGCCCATAGCTAGCTACGCCTAGTTAGTAGCTAACCAATGCATGTAGTTTATTATATATTTATTTAGTCTCCGTTTGGCATAACTTCTCTATCGGCTCCTGAAGCCGTTTGGAGCCGTTTTATATCAAACAGGGTAAACTAAATGGACTTCACCTAAGAAACCCCTTAAATCGTGCTGTCACAAATGTTAAGATTATGTAGAGGGTAGAGCCAAAAATAGTGGCTTCACCTCGCCCTAGTGTGTCTTGCATGGGGTTATGTGAGAGCTTGTTTTAAGGAGTTCTACATGTTGAGCTGTTTTATAAACGGTTTACCAAAACGGCTCAAGCACCACCAACGGAGTTGTTCATAGAGTTAAAGCCAAAAATAATGGCTTAACTGGTAAAGTTGAGACATATCAAACGAGCCTTATTATTAAGTATTCTAAAAGTCAGTTGGTGTACGTTATGGTTGATCTATCTAAGAGTATTGCCTTGCTTGCCGCCCTCGCTCTTTCGCCTGTCTATATCAGTGTGCCTCGCGCCTTTGATTTTTATTTCAACTACTATACGGAAATAGTTTTTGGTATGTCAACACTCACACGTTCCTTGGTCGGTACGCAATGCTCAAGTCGACATTTAGGACATTTTGGCACCACAGTTGACTACTGATTTCAATTCTGGCCCCGTTCGCTGGTATGAAATTTGGCTGAAACTGGTTGAAAAACACGATTCCGGCTGAATTGTTGTGAGAGAAAAATACTGTTCCGGCTGAAAAAACAAGCGAACAAGCCAAACTTTAAGACAAGCGAACGGACCCTAATTCTGTGATACTTAATTATACTATTCGAAACGAACATAACTAAATACTTTGAAAATTAATAAGGTAATTTAATTTTCAAAGTATTTAGATGAACATAGTAATATCCCAATCAAAACAATATTTTTACGATGATCAGGATTTATAGGATGGATAAACCTAGATATCGAGCTGGCTCGGCTCGGCTCGGCTCGGTCTATGGCTCATTATAACTAACTTAGCTAAAAAGCTGGCTCGGCCAAAAGCTCGAGCTAGCTCATTTGACCTGTGAGCCAGGGAAAAAAATATAAAATAAAGACTACCTTATATTCCAACTAGTATACTATCTTACATTCTCATTAGTATATTGTCCGTGCTAACGCTATGATAAAGACAAAAACAATATGTTTACGAAAAACGAAGTACACAGTGAGACAGATTCACAGCTCGTCCCATACTGCCCTGCGCCTTCTGCTGTCTGAAAGCAGTAGGGCCTCAGCTGCTTCAGAAGTAGGATTTTCATTGAACGTACCATATGCTGATGGCACTTTTACATCAGCAACCCCTAGCGCGATTGCACGCCTCAGCTCCTCCTGCTGCTCCTCGTCGTGATCTCGTCGTTCTTAACTACCTTGTTCAGGGCCTCAGTCTACTCACCCCGCTGCCGTTCTTAACTACCTTGTTCAGGGCCTCAGTCTACTCACCCCGCTGCTTGTTAACGTCATCAAGTTCAGGGCCTCAGTCTATGCGGATGACCTAGTCGTTTTCCTCGCGCCAACACCGCAAGACTTTTCCTGTATACGAGAAATCCTACAACTCTTCGCGGGCACGTCGGGCCTCCAAACAAACTTGGACAAATGCCAAGTAACGCCAATCCGCTGCTCTGATGAGGATGTCGCTGCAGTCCAGCAGGTGTTCCCTTGTCAGATTCAACCATTCCCATGTACCTACCTCGGCGCCCCACTGTTGCTGTCACATTTGAGGCGGGCTGACGAGCAGCGGCTCGTTGACAAGGTCGCCTCCAGGATCCCGACCTGGAAGGCTAGCATGCTCAATGCTGCGGGCCGCACGACCCTAATGCAGACGACTCTATCAGCCATGCCGGTGCATATCTCAATCACATGCTGCCTTTCGGCTTGGGCCATTGCCGAGATCGACAAGAGACGTAGGGCCTTTCTTTGGACTGGGAGCCAATCCGATGCTGGAGGAAAATGCAAGATTGCATGGCCCATCGTCTGCTCCCCTAAGGACCATGGTGGACTGGGCATCCCTGACCTGAAACTACTTGGGTTCGCGCTACGACTCAGGTGGGAATGGCTCAGGCACACGGACACTTCCTCTGTCTGGGCCCTCCTTCCATCTAGGGCCGAGAAGAACGTCGATGCGATGTTCAGGGCGTCAGTCAGTGTGCGTCTGGGCGACGGCGCATCGGCAAGGTTCTGGACGAACTCCTGGCTCCCAGATGGCCCTATCTCGTCGTTTGCGCCGAGCCTTTTCCAGGCAGTGGGGAAAAGGCGCCGGAATCGCATGGTCAAGCAGGCGCTGGCTCATCGGTCCTGGGTACGGGACATCTCTGGAGCACCGACGGCGCCAATACTTTGTGACTATGTGCTGCTTTGGGAAAAACTTGAACACGTCCACCTCCAACTAATGGTCTCTGACCGTTTTGTTTGGAAATGGACAGGTGATGGGAACTACTCGGCCTCTTTGGCATACAGATCGTGCTTCAATGGAAGGACACTGCTCGTTGGGGCTGAGCATCTATGGCACGCCCACGCTCCGCCAAAGGTGAAGTTCTTTTTCTGGGTCAGCCTCCATGGTCGCCTATGGACTGCCGAGAGACGGAAGCGCCATGGACTACAACAACATGCGTCGTGCGCACTGTGCGCTCAGGATGACGAAATGACGGATCACCTCTTGTGTTCGTGCGTGTTCGCGCGGGAAGTTTGGCACCGGCTCCTTCATGTCGTCGGCTGGCAGTCCCTGACGCCAGACCACAATGCCATGCTCGGCGACTGGTGGCAACTGGCA